CAATCTTGAGATACTATCATGACAGATGTGAGATCAACAAAGTCTTTCTTATCTTAGTCCAACATACTCCTTCAAAATTCAGTTTATTTGCCATTTGCAGTGAAAGCCCATTGGAATAAGTATGCATCAACCTGCTCTCTTTCTAGTTCTCCATCACTTTGCAAATTGAAAAAAAAGTGGATCGTCAAAAGGCTTCATCAGATGTACCCGGCAGCAGCATGTGAAGCTTCATAACGGATGAGAAAGAGCATGTCACGACGAGACTATAACCTCTTCTCCACACGTCCCATCAAACCCAACAACTTCATCAAAGTCTCCCCGTGTCGCCCATAACTCCTGCAAATGAAAGGGCAGCAAAGTCCACAGAAATGACGGATATCCACGCCCCCCGTCGCCCGCACGCATCCCACCGGAGCTGCGAGCGAGTCTGAACATGGACCCCGAGTATAGAGCCATCCCTCAGTGTCCACGTGTGTGCTCAGAGAGTCCAGGACCCGCCGAGAAGCACAAGATGGAGGATGGGGCGGTGGGATCCGGCTCGAGGCACCGGCGCTGAACTCTTGGGGGTCCGAACAAGAGGCCGCCGCCGCTGCTGCTGCTGCTGCCTCAAGGAATGTACCGGATCAATGGTTCTCAAAGTATATGAAAGTGCTTTGCCTCAACAGGATGTAACGAGAGAGGAGAGAGATGACGAGACGTAGAGAAGTACTTTTATGTGTCGGAAAAGTTCAAAATCCTTCGCCAAACTCACTCCATCCAGCTGTGAAACTAGTTGGGTTTCTGATTTCTGGGTTCTTTTTTGGAAATAGGCTGTATGTAGGGCAGTGTTTTTCAACCAGTGGGCCGTGGCTCGCTTGGGTGCCTCCTGATTGGTTGAAATAATTGTTACTTCTTGAGGCTCCTTGTCATTGGTGAAACTGATCAAAGTTCTGCCAGTTTCTCCCTTTTTTTCTACTGATTTTATGTTTTGTTCCTTGTCGATGCAGCAAGATCTAAGTCAGTGATGATCTGGAACAATTTTTGAGTTTTACTGTTTTTAATAATGGCCATAGATGCTATTCCCCAGTCCATGCTATTGCCCTGCCTAGTCCCTTTGCTACCAGGATGCAGAATTTCAACTAATACCAATCAATAAACTAATATTTTTAAAGCGTCTTTCCTACACAAGGCCAAAAGTTGTATTTTTTCTCTCCACATTTGACAATATACCGACTGCAAAGACTCAGGTGAATGCATAATTTGCCAGCACTTACTCATAGGCACTAACATGTGTTTGAGTATGATGTCATAGTGGCACAGTGACATCATAGTGTTACAGGACTGAGACAGGAGCTTTTAAACTGAAGGGGCCAAAGTTTAATATCAAACATCTTCTTCAACATTTCCACCAAAGCAATACTTTACACTTAAATGATCTCCACGACCGACAGCGGAGCGTGGAAAGGCCGCCATGGACGCGCCGCCGTGGACGCGCCGCCGCCTGTGACATTGAACCAGAACAAATATGTGAAGCGTGAGCGCGGACACAGCGACCGTTCTTCATCCTTCTCCTCGGAGACGAATGGAGGTCAGCGGCGGAGCGAGACTCAAGGACGGTTCTGTGGTGCTCCTTCACCGGGCCGGCTGCAGACAGTTCAATAAACAGCTCGTTCTGGACCCGCTGCCTCTGATTGGACGAGTTTATGAGGAAGATGATGAGGAAGAGTTCAGTGGAGCAGGTTACAGCAGCGCATTACGACTGTCACCGGACTCACAGAACGTAATATCCTCCTCCAGCTTCAGCCGTGCACGTGGAGCCCAGGGACCGCAGCTTTCGGATTCAAGTCACAGCGTTAAAGATTCACAATGCAGTTTAGAGTATGTGATGGGTCCTGCTGCGTCGCCATGGATACGCTAACGGTGTAGTTCAGGTATTTGACTTCCCATGTGCCACGTTCTTTGGATAATAATAATAATAATAATAATACATAGGTTTTATACAGCGCTTTTCTGGACACGCTTCACATCCTCATTCATTCATTCTAAACACGGTGGTGATAAACTACTGTAGCCACATCTGCCCTGGGGCACAATGACAGAAGCGAGGCAATCGGCCCCTCCCACCACCACCAACCATTCACACACGCACCAGACTCATTCTAATGTGGGTGAAGTGTCTTGCCTAAGGACACATCTGCAGTTTGAAGAAGTGTCTTTTGATCAATGAATCCTGATTTAAAAAATAAAAAATAAAATAAACGTGTCTGCCATTTCTACAGGGCGTCAAACTGGTTCCAGAAAAAGCCGATGACTGTAGGGTTTCGTTCCAACCGAGCAGGAGCACAGCAGACTCCACCCATTTTCTCAAGTCTTCTTCAGGGCCATACTGGACTCACTAAGTAAAGATACACTGCAAAAAATATATAAAAATTAACAATATTAATCATGAATATTTGCATGAATCAAGTGGTTTTTATTTTATATTTATTTCAAGAATTGTTGCTTTGTTTTCTCATTCCAA